TCAAGAAACTTCATACGAACTTTTTGTGGTCTCCATGTGCTGAACTGATTCAAGAAAAGATCACGTCGACTCTAATCGTCACAATATAGGGTAGTGCGAATTTGTTTATCAACATGTGTGACTCTTTGTAACACAGCGCGCGACATTCAGGATTGTAGAAGATCCCACATTTATGTTGGTTTGGTCCAAATGTTACGTACTTTAAGCAGCAGAGACGGTGAATCCTACAAAATTTTGCTCGAGTCATTAACGTAAAATAAAGGTTCCTACAGAGGCTGAAAAAAAAAAAAAAGGTCGCGGAGCCCGTAAAAGGCGTGGGGCCGGCACTGATAACTTGAAGGAAAAATATCATACCAAGTGGCAAACTGCATCAGATTACCCCCATGACCCGTTCTGACGTAAGACCCTGTCTGTCAATCTGAGGCAATTTTGTCAATTGGTATGATATCATCCTTCAGATTATTGGGTTCTTTTTTTTTTTTGTTTCAACACCAAACTCGCTCGCATCGAGCATAAGTGTACAGTACACGGGACAGAACTCTTACAAGTGATTCAAATGAAGTTAACCAATTTGTGTCATGAATCATCCGTAAAACGTAACTGTATTGGCAGTAATTCGTATTAATGATGAGGTAAACATATCTTTCAAATTAGTTTATTTCCAGCAAGAGAGTGTCAAAATTTGAAATAAAACAAACATTAAACATTCAGGTCTTATATGCCACTTCATATAACTAATTGTTAGCAATTATTACCAAGCCTCGGTAGCGCAGCAGGCAGCGCGTCAGTCTCATAATCAAAAGTAAAGAGCGATCTGAAGGTCGTGAGTTCGATCCTCACCCGGGGCAAGATTTTTTAAAAATTATTTTGGGCATATTTTAGGGGGTCTGTGGTTGGATTAGTCAACATGGCTTGATAGGTTTACTAAATATGTTATGCATTATATATATTTTCCTCATAAACTTCAGTAAAGTCTAAATGTAATCTCATCTTTAGAAGCAGTATTTAAGCATGCAATGTACAAATCTTTAACATTTTTTAAAAATTATTTTCTAATCACAACAATTACAAACCCCCCATTTCTAATGGATTCTTTTAAATGATAAGTTGTATGGTTGTCTTAAAATTATGACTAAAATATGATTTTAAGGTAAATTAAAAGCAACAATAGAAGCCACTGAATTCTCCCATATCTTTGTCCACCTGCTATGGTAACATAGTAATTTCATTGAAGTGGGCCATGAAAGTCCATTATTTGAGACATTATCATGGTTTATCTTATTAGTATTTTAGGACTGAATACATACAATGCCCATGTTGTTTAAGGCATTTATTTCCTTGTTATTCTATTTTTATCTACTGGGTTCTTCCTTTTCTATTTGCATATTTATGTATAATCTTTATGTTTGTTTACTGTTTTTTAGTAACCTACTTAAGATGAGTATTGTATTTTAAATGACTTTACCACACACTTCATAATGTTGATTTCATAGAGATTTATAATTTTAAATTTTAGACAATTATTTACTTTAAATACAGTAGAACCTGTCTTGAAAGACCACTCCTCTGGCAAATAAATAAATGTCTATCAAAACAGGTGGTCTCTCATGACAGGTCAAAACATTATATAGCCAATAAATCTGCAAGGAAAACCTGGTATCTCAAGACAGGTGGTCTTTCATAGCAGTGGTCTCACAAGACAGGTTTTACTGTATTATGATTATCTGCTTAATTGTTTCTATAAAAATTGCATTAAAACTGGAGTCTCCTTATTAGACAAGAGTCACATGAAGGGACTGATGCTCTTGTAACTGAATTTTATTCTTCAAAATTTCAAGGTAAGATTATTTTTTGCTGCTGAGCATTGAAGCGATACATATTTTAGAAATAACTAGACTTTCAAATTAGTCATTTATGGATAAACTAGACACCCTAAGAAGTTTTCTCATAAAAACAACACTGTTGAAACATTCTATTTAGAACAAATAGTGATAACAAAATCTGGGATTTTCAAAATGGCTGTCATGGTTGCTATATTGAATGTCAAAAGATGAGTACCATTTTAATCTAGGACCAAGTAGATCACTCTTAATATGGTGGGTTTTCATGAAAATACCCACAGGGGCCATATTTGATATCAGATTATTACTGTTTTCATTTATGTCTAACTATGTATCACAACAAATCTTTTGATGAAAAACAAATGTAGATATCACCATCCATCTAGGAGGAGTATAGATAACATGGTTTACAATATGTCTACTCTGACAGCCATAGTAGAGATCAGATCAGCAGAGTTTTTATTTTTAGACATCATGCTAGACATCATAAGATTTTTTTCTGGTGAAGAAAACATGCCCATGTGACTTTTCATTCAAGATGAATAGTGATAATGACATTTTCAAGATGGCTGCCATGTGTGCCACATTGGATCAGATCAGCATGATGTCAGTTTAAGCCCATGTAGACATCGTAAGACATCTTATCATCAAAACCTCATGTTGATGTGACTTTCTAGTCAGGAGGAATTACAAGATTTTCAAAATTGCTGCAAATGGCAGTCATATTGGATTTCCAAGATGCACCATTTTCATTTAAAATTAATTTGATATCATAGGAAGTTTTTTAGTGAACACCCTGAATTGACATCACCATCCATTTAGGAGGAATGATGATAACAAGATGATCAAGATGGCCACTTTAGCAGCCATATTCAAGATGGCCACTTATAGCAGCCATACTAGATGTGTGAGCATCACCATTTTCTTCTAGGACCAATTATATTCAACACGATGAATATGCATTTAAAGTTTTATGGCAGTTACATTTAGGTGCAGTAGTGATAACAAAACTGTAATGACGAACAGATGACTGGTGATGAATATCTCATAAGCTCTTCCATTTTATGACCAGTTGAGTTGAAAACTTGAAGGTCATATATTATATAGAGTAAATCATAAAAAATTTATTTATCATTGAACAATATGTGTAAATTGTACATCCACTGATCTGGAACAATTCAGTCATGCCATATTCCAGAAATTTTGCAATAAAATTAATCAAGATTTAGACTGTCTTGAATTACTGACTGCACTTACCTCTCTTAAAAAACTTCCATTTGCTGTTATGTGTGACATCACTCAGTAATGAATCTGAAATACAAAAGTGTATTCATGAGATGGTAATTTTATAGTGTGTGTGGTATTTGATCAATAATGTCAGAACCAGACAAGGCAGAAGTCTTTTCTGTTGATATAATTTCATGATAAAGAAAGGGACAAAAATATTGATTGAGATTAATCAAACTGTGTCCAGCCAGGGCATATAATACAATCTGTTGCACTCCCTGTTTGTTTTTTTACAAGTGTATTATTTATAATCAAATCATCACAAATCCCCCTAAATGCTGACAAATGGGTTTATATACAGATTTATTAAATAAATGACAGGATATAAATGAAAAAATGTATGTATGTATGTATGTATGTATGTATGTATGTATGTATGTATGTATGTATGTATGTATGTATGTATGTATGTATGTATGTATGTATGTATGTATGTGTGTGTGTGTGTGTGTGTGTGTGTGTGTGTGTGTGTGTGTGTGTGTGTGTGTGTGTGTGTGTGTGTGTGTTGGTGTGTGTGTGTTTTCCTCTTTATATATTGAAACAGTGTTATATATTGAATTGCAGCATAGAAGTGATGATATTTTTAAAAAAAACACTTTGAAAAGAAAATAAAACACTAAACTATATGTGGTTTCTTCAACCTGTGTAGCTATACTAATATATATATATATATATATATATATATATATATATATATATATATATATATATATATATATATATATATATATATATGTTTTAAAATATATATTATATGTATGAAAATTAATAGCCATTAGCACAAACAATTGTAAACACCACATTATTGTTATATGTCCATCCCACAATGTTCTCAATAGTTCATAATGGTTGACTTTAGAGATTATTGACCAATGGACCTCAACGAAACTTGACCATCAGTTGAAATATGCAGTCATCAACTAAATTTAATGTGTAAAAACCATTCTTTTCTTATTAGACTTACCATGTTCTTGACCTCTGACCTTTTGACACCAGAACCTATGGGTTTCTTTATCACTTTAAGTACAAGGCACCAACAAACAGTAGCAAATGAACTTATTCTAGACCATAAGTTATTCTGCAAAACTCAATTATTCTTTGAGCCACAAAGACCTTGACCTTGACCTCTGCTTGAATCCCAAATTAATTGCTCTTTTCTATTCCACAAACTTTAGTCAAGCTAAGTAATCTACAACAAAACATGCAAAAGCCATTTTTTTTTTCATTCAGTTACAGTGACCCTGACTTTTAACATCAAAATTGATAAAAATCTTGCTTGCCACAATTGCGTGGAAACCATTTTTCCTCTTGCAGTTACAGTAACTTGACCATTGGACATTTGGCCCCAAAATCAACAGGCTTCATCCTTATACCATTATCAAGTCATCCAAAATGTTTGTCAAATGTAGATTGTGTAGGACTCTGCTTCTACAAACAAAAATACAACAGATGGCATCCTAATATAAAATTTTAAGTCTAAATGCAGGCAATCAATAGATTAATATAGAGTACACATAATCCATTATGGCAGCCATAGCTGATGATGGAATTGATTTTATTTATTTCCTCATATCTGTAAATCTTGTGACTAGTTCAGTATAGACTCTTATGTGGACGATTCAATTATGCTAAAGAATCAAAAGAACTTAATGATGATTCATTTTGAAATGTATGTGTGTGTGTGTGTGTGTATGTGTTTGGCTTTAGCATTTTTTCAGCTATATCCCTACAATGTCTGCAGTGTGACAATTTATAGTGATGTCTAGCACTGGGGCATCATCCCACCAGTTATCCTGACACCAGGCCAACTAACTTCTCAATGCTGAGCCCCAAGCAAGGCAGCTGTTAGTACCATTTTTAAAGTCTTTGGTATGACTCTGCCAGGGTTTGAACCCATGACCTCCCACATCTGAGACAGATGCTCTAAACCACTAGGCCACTGGAGCAGTTTTGAAATTAGTACCGTTTGAAAATAATGAAAATATTTAAATTAACAAATGTTTGCTTTTCTTTTCCATTAAAGAAACAATTATGCTTTCTTTGGTCATGATTCTCTCTCTCTCTCTCTCTCTCTCTCTCTCTGTATATATATATATATATATATATATATATATATATATATATATATATATATATATATATATATATATATATATATATATATATATCTAAATGCCAAACAACAACATATGTAGGCAGGTGTTGCATGGGTAACACTTGCCTAGTCAAATGCATGCATGACATAATAGCTTTACCTGAACCTGATACACCTGTAAACCAAGAGGAAAATCTGGTCTCTCTTTTGAGCAGATGTTCTGGGTGGAATGGAAGGCTTATTGGGAAAAACATTGAAACATAAGCACCCCAAATGCAGAAAACATGCATCATTATTTTTAATTAACAACAAACATGCAAACATCAAATAAATCAAAGGATGAAATGAGATTTCTATGGATTATTATATAGCACCTGCAAACTGCACCATTCAACCCTCAACAATGTTGTCAGAAAAAATGTTATAGACAGAAAAGTGATACCTATTCCATGTTATCTATTAGATAAGCCAAACAATGGTGTGTGTGTGTGTGTGTGTGTGTGTGAATGTGTGTGTCTAAATATCACCTATCTAAGCAGCACTCTGCCTCAGAATACTGTAATAGATGATAAAGTAAATGCCAGGATTGCAAAAGCCAGCACAGCATTCACCAGACCTCACGCCAAGGTCTGGAACAGAATTGACATTAGTATTTAAAGCTGAAGGTATAAAGAGCGATAGTATTTAAGTGTTATTATATGCCTTCAAAACCCAGATAGTTTACCAGCGCCATGCAAAGAAGTTGAACCATTTCCATACTACCTGCCTACTAAACCATTTCCTTACTACCTGCCTCTGAAGACTCCTAAACATCAAGTGGCAAGACTGAATCCTGGATACTGAGGTCCTTGCCCCTGCAAGCCTTCTCAGTAGCTCTCATGCCAGACCACCCACTTCCAAAAAAACTCTTTTATGGCCAGCTGGAACAAGGAAAATGCTGCAGCAAAGGAGTTCAGAGAAAATGCTAAAAGGACACCCTGAAGACATCATTGAAGAACTTTGGCATTAGCTATGACTTATGGGAGTAGACTGCCCAGGACAGGGTCATGTGGCACTCTTCCATCACTAAAGGTGCTGCAGTTTGTGAGGCCAATAGCTGCAGCAGAACAATAGAGGCAGGCCAGGAAAATTTAAGCCAGTAACCCGACAATCAGCGTTGCTACCATCCCATGTCCACAATGCCACAGATCATTTGTTCCCAATAAAACACTGGATGACTAAAGTGGTCCTCATGAAAACACAATTGCTTGTTAACTCAATACTTCCAAAATGTTTGGAACATAAAAGCTGAAGCTTAAACACTTATCCCTACCCCCACCACCTCCAAGTAAGATGTGATTTATGAAGTTTATATAATTGAAGCTTAGAATGCTAATAAAAATTTAAATTTCATACATTCCTAAAATTTCCAACTTCTAATAATGTAGTCTTGATTACAGTACAATATTGTTTTTCATGGTAAGACAAATTGGTCAGCCTCAAATGTTCAAAAGTAGGGGTAGTCTTTTTAGCAGATATTAGCCTAGATTTGCTCAAATGGGAGTGGTCTTATCTTTAAGCATGGACATATATCATGGGAGAAATATAGTAATTTGTCATGCAATTTTGCTACAAACAAATATTTCTAATGCATCAGTTTGGAAATTAAAAATTTAGGAGTATTTTTTTTAAACATTATTTCACAAAGATTTCCTTGTCTAGCTTAGTGTCTGATTTCATTTTTTGGTCAAAGCCTAGAAAATGAAATCTCTCTTACAGCAAAATGGCCATGACCTGCATGTTGATCCCACAATCATAGCCTTAAAATGTGTAACCTTAACCAAAAAGATCAAAAGATTGAGCCAACATACCACAGAATCAATTGTATTCATAATGATGAAGACATTCCTTCATAAAATTTAGGAAAATTTAAAAAAACTGAAAATACTTTAACAAGGATCCTAATACAAATTTTCTGTGAATGTGACCTTAACAAGAAATTCAGCGGTGCAAGCAGGAATTAATATTACTGAATTAATTTTCTTAGCTTCATGATGATACATCCTATTTATGAAGATAATCCATCAAGGGGTTTAGAAAACATATGCAAATGAGACACTTTCACAGAACTTTACAAAAAATTTATATGATTGTGACCTTGACCTGAGAGTCAATGGAACAAGTGTGCATGTAGGTAGAAGACTGTATACAGTATGCAGGTGGTTGCCATGTGTGCAGTCCATAAAAAATAAAGCTCATGGTGTATATTTGTATTTCTCTAAAATAAATCTATATACCTTGATTTCTGTCATAGGATCTGGAAGAACAGAGTGATTATTATATACTGGGTTGATGTGTGGTAATACACATCCAGTATAGTGATAAGTGCATGCAGGCTAGGTGATGGGTGCTGTAACCCATAAACCAAACTTTAAATTAAAACTTCTGTAATCTGTATGATATTATTATTTATTCATATTAAAAAATTATGTTAATGTTATCAAGCATTATCCTATAGATCAAAACCTGTTCTTGAAGAATTCAGCTGTGTTAATGTCTGATTTTATTATGCAAATTCCTTAATATTATGGAATGGATATGGTGGATGTACTTGAACAATGAACATTAGTCATTCTCTGTATCTATCCATTTTAAACCCATGTATTAAAATCGATGAGAATATTTGTCATAACTCATTAATCATAAAAAATGTAGACAGATCAATCAGATGAACACTGTTCAGGTGAAAGATTAAATACATTTGTCAGTTAATAAGCTATAGCATGTTTTATTTGAGAAATGTTTGCAATGATTTCAACTTATGACCTGTTGATTTCAACTTATGACCTGTTGATTTTCACAAAAAATGATTTCAACTTATGACCTGTTGATTTTCACAAAAGTTCAGCTGTGAGACAATTATAAATGATATAAATGTCACTATAGCAATAAACAGTCATCTATTGCTATGATAAGGTCTGTACCTAGCATTTGTAACAAAGAAGCATTTATTATAACAAATTATTCTAAATATTGTATAGTTAATTTGTCTTTGCGGTCCGAAAATCTGTCTTGTAATACCAAAGTTTTGCACAGAGAGAGAGAGAGAGAGAGAGAGAGAGAGAGAGAGAGAGAGAGAGAGAGAGAGAGAGAGAGAGAGAGAGAGAGAGAGAGAGAGAGAGAGAGATTGATTTACTGGTTAGGGGGAGTAATTCGTGGTTCCGTTGTAACATATTGAATCGTTATGTAATATGAGTTACATCCCTTTAATAAATTATTCATGCGCATGCTGCCGGAAATTGGGGTTTCCGGTGACAAGGATGTTAACTGCGAGTTTGTTTTAGGTCGTAATAAATGACTAATTATTGTTGTAGGTAGGTAATAAGTAGTGACTTTTAAATTTTAAGTCTTTTATTGACAAAGATGGCATTTATTGTTGAATGCATGGACCTTATCAGTTATTTGTATGGCCTGAAACGGACACTTTGACTGTTACGCCAGCTGCGACATATATGCAAGCAATTTCAAGTACTGTCAAAGAAATAGGAGACCCATTTTTTAGTTTAGCGATTTAAAGTGCATACTTAGTTTTGACCGCTTGTTATATTTTTTGTCAAATTTCATATATTGTGGTACTTTTTCGTCTAGTATGTGGCAAAATAATGGGGGACTAGACCAGCAAGTAGGTCTCCGCTGTTTTTTGTTGTTGTTGTTATATATATATATATATATATATATATATATATATATATATATATATATATATATATATATATATATATATATATATATATTAACTGTCATAAACAAAATCAGGCGGAGACACATTACTGTCTGATAAAAACCCATATAAATCAGAGACCTGCTTGTTGATCAAGGATAGAGAGGGATTATTTAAAAGCAAATTTGTATGTTTTACTGTGGAGGCTTTGAAAATACAGTATCTTACACATTTTGTATATTCTCTTGTATTATTCAGTTTTCAACCAACACAAAAGTTTCATCCAGCATGACAACAGTTCTTTCCAGATCACAATTCATTTAAAGACTTGAATTAGGCCTAGAAGTTAACAATGTTGCAATGCTTAATGGCATCTTAAAAGATATTAAATACTTGAACAATGTTGTTTTTAATTCTGAATATTGTTAAGCAATCTTTTTTTTTATAATTTGGGTCTCAACTTTTTTTTTTAGTTGCTTAATGGCAGTCATTTGGAATGCAAATTTTATGAACAGTGTCTCTTTCAAGATGAGCTTAGGAACCCACCTTGTAAACATGGTTTTAAACAAAATGTGTCACAGGATTGAACAAATTATGTTCTTTTATGTTCTTAGAGTCCAAAGGATATCAAAATACTAGGTTGGGTATATTCAGGTCAGGTGAGTAGTCTGAGTATGCTTTAAGCTTTCCCATCTTGATATTTCCACTTGTCTGTTGTATTGTGAGATTATTCTCTATTAAAAATGTGGAATTTTTTGGAACTTGGAGTAAAGAGGCATGGGAGTAGTTATTTTAAAATGGGTTTGCAAAATGAACCCTATCAGCTTTAGATGGTATGTATTTTAATACCCAAAGAAAATTTGGCTTAGTAATTTGGCTGCAGTATGATATTATGAATTGTTAAGTATATGTTTAAAGTGTACAGACAAATAAATTTTACAAAGGATATTAATATATACCTTACTGTTTTAATTTGAGTTATTGTTTTTATACTTTGGGGCAGGCTGAAGACTCCAGCAGTTATGTTGTTGTAGTGGTCAGTTCAGAAGAGCTAATGGGATGGTCTTTGTTTGTTGTCTGCTGTCTGTTTCCAAATACATGTACATTCACTCCATGGTATAGTTGGTCACAAATGGTGCTTTTCTGACATC